TTCAGGACTTGCCGACGACGATGTTGAGCCTGTTCATGAGCATCGCTGGAGGAGTGAGCGGCTAGACAGAAGGACGCAAGAGTATATACCCGGTGTGTTTTGTGAGTTCATTGTGCTGTTGTTATTAGCTGTCAATTTTGATGCGGCCACAGCTGACATGGCCCCAGGTTGGGAAGAGGTGATTGCTCCATTGATGTCGATATCTTCGATTTGGGCTTGGGTTTTTCTGTTTTACTTTTTTTTCACCTACTTTGCGGTGCTAAATGTAGCAACTTGGAATGCAAAACAACGCGCGGATGGGCAAGTGGCTTGTTTGATGGGTGAAACGGTGAAACATGAAAAATGTTTGGGGCACCTTGTTTGCAATTCTACCCGCCAATATCGGAAAATAATATGTACATTCGTGCACATTTTTTTCAACAAAAATGGTTTGCATGCTAAAGCGGTTGGGCCTGTTTTTTTAATCGTGCAATGTTGAACTTTGCAAAAGATCATCATGTCATGTCATACGATGGAATTTCAACCACCCGTGGTCGCATCATTTCGTTTCTCCCCCCGGTGAAAAAAATTGGTCCAGGTAACAGCGGTTTTCTGTCAAAGCGCCATTGACAGCGCGCAGAGTGACCACACCATGATGGTGCAGTCAATCCTGGATGACAAGGCGGCGGCTATTGGACCCACAGATCCATATTTGGGGTTGTTTCATGGCGCTTACCAGGAAATATATTTCCAGCAAAAGGTTCGTGAAGTGCAATTTTTCTGCCGTTGAATGTGACATTTGTTTGTGAGGACGCTATTGTCATGTTGTTTTAATATGTGAATAATGTTTTTTTTTGCTTCTGTTATTTTCGCCTGGTCATTGGACACATGTCCAAACTAGTGTTTGCATCATTGAATGTGTTCGGAACCACTTTTCAGAAACTGTTTCATCATTTCATACAACTGGTTGGTGGGTTTAGAACGATTTAGAAGAATGTTCTGGATTTGTGTATGTTCAAACATATGCAGGATATTGCAGGATGACGATGCTCAATCGATATTTCTTTGTTTGTATGGATTGAAACCACATCAACGTGTGTTTTTGGTATGCCTTCACCCGTCAAGTCTTTCAAAACCATGCCAGGAGGCACATTTGGAAAAGATCAAGGCCTTGTTCAGCCAGATGGCATATAACGAGGCGCCTATCTTGCTGCGCAAAAATGCTAACGGCATGGAATCCGTGTTGGATTTGTGAGGCAGTATTCTCAGTTTGCTGCATGGTTTTAGCACATGTTTCCAGCTTGACATCTAGAGTGCAACGACGGCAAGACCTCTTGGGATGATCCCTGGCATATTGATGAATTGAATGAAGAATCCATTATATCAATTGAACCCCAAACGAAAGAAACCCTGCTTTAGATTGAGGATTTGTTCTTTTGGACCTTGTTTTGGATCTTGTTGGAACTGTATTTACTATATGATTATACCGTATAATACCCTTCCCCGACTTGGATATAGTGAAACCGGAAAACCCCGGTGAACCACGGGTAAAACCATAAAAACCTTTCTAAAACCATTGAGGATTCCCAAGTATTGGATGAAAGTGGAAAATCTACAGGAACGCCTATCGTATGTTTGCTAGTATCATAGAACTGGATGATGGGAAATTACAGGAACCCCCTATATTTTATGGTAAAAACAAAATGGTTTCCGGTTAAGATTTTCCCGCCAATCCAATCATATGGGAAGCACACCTTCCCTTCCACCAATCCATTGAATCATTGAATCATGTCAGGAGGGCGGCATCACGTTTGCGATGTTTGAGGAGAAGATTAACAGCGCAGCGGTGAAGGAATATTTCGCTACTTTGGGGCTCGATGTGTGGGACGACTCTTGGCCTGCTTTACGCAAAAGTGTTGATGTTTATATATACATTTATTATTTACATGTATACTTATATTATAAATTATTCAACATCTACAATTAGTATTATATTATATTTATGATATTTTACTATATTATTTAGATTTTTTATTTATATTATTTATAGTATATTTATTTGTCATGTTTTGTACAATTATATAATGTATGGTCTTTATATTATATCTACAGTATCTTTATAGTATCTTTATTTGTATGTAGCGATCCACAATCTTCCTCATCTTCAAGTTAGCTCAAAACATGTAGCTGGCTCAATTTCAGAAGGGGTCATGTGTTTGACTTTAATGTTGTGCCGCTGTCTAAGCAGATTTGGCCCAAAACGTGGCTCCTAAATGCTCCTAAATTTCTGGGCTGCAACAGGGGTACCATCTCTATTAAACGAATCATTTGGGACTGAACCTGGCAATTGAACACACTGGGAAAAATTTGCAGGCTCGCTCAAGTGGAACGAGCTACCTCAGCAACACCGCGCTAGCTCAAACACATCGCTCTAGCTCGATGGCATCGAGCTGGCTCAATTTTTTGAACAAAAAAAACAACGAAAAAAACAAAAAAAAACATCGAAAAAATTGAGCCAGCTACGTCACGTTGAGCTGGCGAACGAATGTGAAAGCTCAAAAACGAATGCATAATATGTATTGGCCGGGATGGTGACGGCACACCGAGCTGGCTCAAGGGCATGTAGCTGGCTCAATTTTTTTGTTTTTTTTCGTTCAAAAAAATTGAGCCGGCTACGAGGCGCTGAGCCAGAAACGATGCATTGAGCCAGCTACGTGGCACTGAGCCAGCAACGAGGGAATGGTGAAATCTGTACTGTACGGGACCGATGGATTTTCCGATGCAGCCTTTGCAGTTCCAACAAATCAAATTATTGATAAATTCTGGCACCGGCAGTCTATACATATATATGTATACATATATAACCCCAACCGTATAATTATGGTCAATCTGAGGCAACACCAGTTTTCTTGAGGGAGACGCGTACCCTTGAGCTGGAGGGAGTTTGGGAAAAGCAACTTTCGATTAATTGTTATTATTTTTTGGTAAATGTCCCATTTTGGGGCTATTGGACATCACCTTTGAATGGCAATTATAGATGAGATACCTCATGGTTGGGTGATGTTCAGTGGTGACATTTAATGACCCATGTTCTTTTTTCGATTTTATTAAATACGATATTTAATTTAATGTAATATAATTTGATATAACATAATATAATATGATAATGCTATATTTTTATTATTGCTATTTTATTTACAGTATATATATATAGAAACACATTATATTTACATATTTGTTCCATATATGCATATTCTGATAATATGATAAGTATACATTGAACATATTTTATTCATGTTCATTTTGTTTTTTTGTATTGACTTTATTTTTTTATTTTTTTTAATGGCAAAACATATATTTTGCTTAAACAAAATTTATATTGTCGTTGTATCATATTATATTTATATTTGATTTATTTTGTGTTTATATATATTATATAAATATATTATTTGTTAAAGTTTTTTTAATGCATATTATATTTATATAATTTTGCATTTTTGTATTTTTTTAATTATATATAATCATATATTATTATATCGTTCTATGTTATATCATTTTTTTTTTGTTTTTGTATTTTTGTGGACACACATTTTGAGCCACTAATGGTGATGTAAATGCTGCCAAACTCAATTTTCAGGAATCTCTTGGAGGCATCTAAGATTAGCCTCGTACAGATCGCTCCAGATGGCAGATTTCGACATGGCTAGCGGCTAGAGTAGAGGTGCCACAACACAAGATGTATCGGATGCCTGTCTTTGACGGCAAAATCATTTGGTAGGCCCAATAAACCATCTCATTACCACATCAACATTATTGCCAGAAATAGTTTGTAAATGTTTGTAACTAGCCAGAGAGAGTTGGAGGTTTATTTGGCTTACCATTTGATCAACAATCCTTCCTCTTTCTGACATTCTGATAAAATTGTTGTCGATCCCTTCACTTTAATGATGCCCGCTTTCCATGCCTCTTTTTCAAAAGGTAAATTTGGTTTAGGTTTACTTTCCAGACGCCAACAAGAAACTTCAAAATTTGATAAATTTTGCACACAGGCTTGCAATTCAACTTATTGACTATAGTACTATGTAGTTGGCTGGGCGCGCGCAGAAGGCCGCGTCACGAAACAGTGTTTTTGCTAGTTCACTGCACTGGCGCCACAGCGAGAGCGCATTTTTTCCTTTTTTTTGTGTTTCGCCTCAGTGAAACCTCTTTTTTTGTCTTTTTTTGTTGTTTTTTTTGGCGTGGTGTTGGTTGGGGGGGTGGGGGGTGGGGGGTGGGGGGGGGTGTAATAACGTTCTTTGGACTTGAGCACATCTGGGATGTTATGTCATGAGATCTTTTCTTGGAATTCAACACATCTGGGATGGTACGTCATGAGATCTTTTCTTGGAATTCAACACATTTTTTTCCTTGAATTTCCTGTTTTTTTGAAAACATAGAAAAGGAGATGATGCAACCTTGCATGAGCATGTGTCTTTAGAAGTGTTTCAATGAGCATGGAGAAACCATGCACTTTTGGAAAGAATCCAAGCGAGGTTCTCGAGCAACTGTCTCGACTTTTTGCAGATTAAAGGTGGATGAAAATAAAAGTCATGCACTGAAGTAAATACACCTGAAAGTGTCTCAACTGAAGTAGTTTTTTTCGACGTCAAAATATGACACGCCAAGATATGAACATGGACATGTGAAGCTGTACATGCATTTCGAATGGCCAGCGTGGAGGATTTGCCATATCACCATTCATACATTTGTGTCAAAACTGAGATGAAAGTGCACGAAACCATACGGCCATCTATGAGCGCCCGACCATGTAGTTTCCGGAAGATGTTGGCAGTTGTGTTTCCTGCCGGGTTTCACCAGTCCGCCACATCCCTAAGAACTTTTAAGTCTCCGTTGACGGCCAAGGCTTGGTCATTTTTTAAGCTGCTGGATGCAGATGCTGGTGGCTCAGTCGAAATTGAAGAATTTCTGATCCTTGGCAGCGAGCATGCCAGCTATGGCAGCCATGGGACAGCGGGATGAAATGGGAACACTCATGACCAGCCATTCATGTTAACCCAGAATTTTCAAACCACCAGTTGATTGATAGGGGAGTAACATGGAGGAATTGTTTGTTTTAATGGTAGTAATTCATGAGTATTTTGGGGCAAGGTGGTAAGCCTCCATTCTTTTAAGAGAGGGGCATGTGGAGGCACCAGAAACGGCCTGACCTGAGGAAGATGTGCCAATCGTACCCAATGCGTAGCGATGGGGGTCTGGGGGTCGTCGTCCATTCTCTAATTCGCGCCCCGCAGTACCTATGGCCCATTGGCAATTGCCGCAACATGTGTCGTTTTGAACTTGTGAAATGTCATTTTGTGTGGCAGGCATGGCATTCCGTGAGAATCAGGTGTGAAGTGCTTCGCGGGGCTCTCATTCGCGCCCTTGCTGTGCCTATGGCGAAACCGGAAAAACGAAACATTTCTGAAGAGATATGAAATGTTACTGCCACATGCTGTGATCAACAGATGAAAAGAGTGTTGGTGTTGCAACATGTGTTCGACTGCATGGTTTTGAGTTGGGGATTGTAGAATGTAAGACGTGCAGAATGCAGAGTGCAGAGTGTGAATCGCCAAGTAAGTGCAGAGTGTTGAGTCTGTTCGGCTGCGTGCTACGCCACCCTAGACGAAAAAGACTTTCTGAGGATCTTCAACGTTTACCTCGTCATGCGTTCATAAAAGATGCATTCGGGTTCGTGGATTCTATCAGGATTTGTGGTGGCCACACTATTCTGGTTGGTGGTTTGGAACATGAATTTTATTTTTCCACCATATTGGGAATGTCATCATCCCAACTGACTTTCATATTTTTCAGAGGGGTAGGTCAACCACCAACATGTGCGCATTGTGGCTGGTTATACAAATGCTCTAAACTGACCTCAGCAACCCATAGATGGTCGAATCAACTTAGATCCAGGCCATAGTCATTGGGGAAGCTTCGCGCCATCAATTTCCAACAAACTAGGACTGGTTTATAGCGGGTTACCACCTCACTATAAAAATATAAACTATAGACATCTATAGACTATATATAGACTATATATAGAGATAAAAGTCTTAATTTCGAGGTTTTCTACCTTTTCTACCTATTCTGGGTTCTCTAAAAAGATAGACCATCTCAGATATGTCGAACCATCACCGGTCGGATCTCGGTCGAAAAACGGTCATCCCAGGATGGGTTGTTTGCGCCTTCGAGGGCAGGCCACTGCCATTGATGTTGGCAAAATCCTGCAGGCTCCCGGGGTTCCCAGCGGATGGGTTACCCGGCGTGAACGAACGAATAAATATGACGGAACTGATGGGAAAATATGGGGAAAATATGGGAGAATCCCCATGCTGTGAATGGGTAAATCATGGTAAATTTCTATGTAAATCCATGTATTTCCACATTTGGCCAGTTTCAATAGCAAACTGTGAATGTTTACCAAAGGATATGAACATGTTTATTGAATGGAAAATCCGGCAATAAAATGAGATGATATCCGGGGGGTACCCCAATTTTAGGAAAGCTGCAGATGGTTTGATTCTGTTTTATATTCGGTTTTGTCGTTATCAACATGTTGATTAGTCAGTTATGAACCATTCATTCCCTTTGAGGGGATGGTCATGGGTGACAGTTTTTCTAAGGTGTTAAGCTGTGGCATTTCCTGGTGATGTACTCCATTGTAAGCCATTAACATATTAACATATTGAAATCATGGGATGTGAGCTCATCATAAGATTGATGTGCCGTGTCATGAGAAGACAGTAGCGGGGATGTACCAGAAGAAGACATTTGATCAAAACTTGTTCCATCTTTTTCCCAAGGTTCATTGCCCAGTCTAGAGGGGGTTGCCCTTGACGCTCGTGGCCTCGTCCAGGACCAAGAATTCCTCATCAAGAACCAAGACCGCCGCTTGGAACAGACACATCCTGGTCTTCCAACCACACTATGGTATTAGATTCATAGCGCTACTGTTTTTTTTTAAATACCTGGGCAAACTAGTAGAATTTAGACGAGATTCTGAAAACTGGGTAAAAATTTAGGTCATACTTCAAAACTACCAAAAATAATTGATCGAAGGAATGTTCAGGTATATACATATATATATATATGTATATATTCCCAAAACGGGTAAGACTCACCCTATGTTTGATTCCTTGGAATATCTTGGATGACTTGTGGTTGGGCTTCTTGCTTTTGGCTTGGTGATGGCTGGTCACCTGACTCTGGTTAATTGTGTCCCCAATTTCAATTTGTCTCGCAAAGAGGATGTCCATTCGAATTGCGACATATGCAGAACATTATTTTCAAAACGATGGGATTTTGCCGTATATCGCCAATATTGCATCACAACCATAACATATTACTGGCTGGATATCCCTTACTAACTATATCATACTATATCCTCATTCTATTACCATTATATCCACGTATAGTATCCCCAGATTCCCCATCTTTTTTTCGAATTTTGGTGGCTTAAAATCCCCATTGAAATGATGGTTCACACATCAATATGGCCGCCATGTACAGAAAGAAATCCCATCCCACAGCACTGGTCCCGCTGGTCCCACCCAATTTCCAGTGAAGAATCCTCATTTTCTAAGGATATCTGGCTATGACTAACATATTTAACATAGCCATGGTATAGATGGCCCATAGAAATAGTTGATTTACCAAAAAAAAATCTGGTGATTTTCCATGGCTATTATGTTAAATAACCAGATGTATTAAATCATATTAAATCACCATGTCCTACTGGCGGGGGTACCCCAAAAAATCTTCCCTAAGTTGGTAAACAGAACTCCAATGTTTGGACCCCAGCTGAGGCCTCCCAGTCATGAGTTTGTAAACCCACTACCTACGGTTATATCCCCTATGAATATCCATAAATCATAATTAACAAATTATTTGCGTCAACTTAGCTTTCTAGATTTTCTCGGGGGCCTCAGCTTGTAGGGTTTATGGTAGATATATCGAAGTTCTTAGGTGTTATAAACCGAGAAACTCAACTGGGGAGCCACCACCTTTCAAGTCTCTTAATGCTTGAAGCATGTGTTGCATCACCACATTTTGCAAGCTGAAATCACCCATCCATTTTATCTGGGCAAATTATAACGACCTCACTGTTCTCCCGAGCCCTGGAATCATGGTTTTTATAAGGGAATCATTCCAAAATGGCCCAACTAATTCCCCTTATTTCCCTTATTTCAGGTCAGTGAAGTATTCCAATTTGACCAGATTTTATGGCAAAACAATCCGCCCATTTTCCACGGCCAAAAATTCCAGGTTTTTTCGGTGTCCTGGACGCCGAGCTCCGAGATTTGAAGATGGAGTGTGGGCCTTGGAGATGGTTTTTGTGCTCATTCAGAATGGGGAAATTTAGAAGAACCATAGCTGCCATAACTTCAACGAAAAGGGCAATTCCCATGGATTCATTTGGTTCTATAATTTTCATAGATGGTTTTAGTATATGTTTGAATCAGGCTCATGGGGGAATCATAGGGGAGATTAATGGATTTACCCAAGCCAATGGGAACATATCCCACCGGTTTTAACCCTGGACTATTTCTTTTTGGTCGTTAGGCAAGAAATTTCTCGGAACTATTTTGCCTGACCACAATGGGACTGATCGTGGAGGCAGTGGAGGGCCCCAAACAATGTACAAGATAATGCCATATAGTACCAATGATTGGCAATTTTAAATCCTAGAAATTTGTACATGGAAAATGAACTGCATTTGCCTACGTACTAAAGATAGGTGATGATGGGGTATATTTTGACCAACATAGTCCACCCCCAAACCAACGGTCTTTCACATCATGTCGCTTATGACGACAACTGGCACAAATGGGACTTCCCCTTTTCCCTTTTTTTTGGACAGACACACATCTTTTACACAGTATATATACATATTACATATAGCCATTTTTCCCATCTATTAATCTCTATCGTATGGCTATGGCCACACGGCTACACAATCTTTCAGAAATGATCCAGATTTTGCATATATATATATACTGGTTCGTGGTTTGGAACATTTTTTTCCCATAAATATTGGGAATAATCATCCCAACTGACTAATATTTTTCAGGGGGTAGGTCAAGCACCAACCAGTATATAATATGTACAATTATATATTATATATGATATATCCCATATTTTTGTGGATCCTCCACGATGGTTTGAGACTAAGACTAAGAACAACGAATCCAGGGATGTCCAATTCAGCTGCTGCATTCCAGGGAGCCAAGGAGCTAGGAGTTTCCAGTTAAACCCCAGGAGAATCATGAAAGGTTAGTTATATTTCGGGTCTTAAAAAAAAAGACTTATATAATACTTAGCTTATTCTCAGCACCTTGGACCTTGGAGCATTTCAATGTAGACCTTATGGACCATTTACATCCATTTACCCCATACAATGTTGGTCACTCCCCATATGAACCTGTCCAGACGAGGTTAGCGACGCTGAGATACGCTGCCAGCGGGTCAGACCCCTCGGGGTCGTCAGGTCCGGGGCCGGGGATGGCTCGGACTTTAGACCTCTGAGGCGACGCGATATACGGCAGGGCGGTGTCGTAGTTTCACCTCTTTGAAGGGCACCAGGTCTGGGAAAATCGTGGTTTTCATGGGATTTCACCAGCAAAACATGGTGATTCCATGGGATTTAAGGGGTCACTACTCGTGAAAGACTTCCCCTTCCGCAATTTAACATAGCTATCATAGCTATGTGATAGATGGTGCATATGTAGTTCAATAATTTTAGATTGACCTTTTAAAACGAGTCATTTCCAGATACCCATAGCTATGGGTGGTGTCCAAAACTTTGGTAGATTACCAGATGGTACCTATTTCTCTAGTAATTCATGTGGTGAACCCACGATCCCCAAATGGGGGGATTATTCTTGGGTTGACCATGGGATTGAATGTCCGAATTTGAGTTTATATCATTATTTTGTGTACTCCCATCCCCCCAATATTAAACACCCCCTTAGAAATCATGGTTTAGTAGGGAAATTCCACACATCAATGGGACCATTTGGGAGTTTTTTTTTTTTAGGGGATGGGATGATGAAAACCGTTTGATTCACGTCATGAAGTGTGGTGATCCCAACATTGCACCAGTCGCTCAGGGGAATTGGCACCTGATATGATATATTATGTATATAGATATATACAAAATATATGCATACATGATCACACACACACATATATATATATATATATGCATGTACATGTGCATTAATGTGTATGTAATGCTAATATTAATGTTAATGTTAATGTATCTATATGTCTATATATATATGTGCGTGTGTGTGTGTCTATGTTCTACTCCGATGTGGGCCCCTATGACTACTGCTGCTGGGAAGTGGTTTTGATTTGTAGTATCTTGCTAAACATGTGTCCCCAATTTACTTGAAGCCTTGAAGCCGTACGAGACCTCGGCATGCCATTTTCTTTCACAACCCAGATTTAACTTTGATCTGCTAAAGATATTTGTGGTGTAGAAGCTGTAGAAGTGTATGCCCCCTTCAAGTATTCTCAAGTGGGGTAGGAACCATCCAACATACTGTAACTCAGGGAAGGCCGTGCCCACATTGTGCCCACCATGTCCACCCAAGAAGTGGGGGACATTTTTTGGCCTGATCTCCGGCTCTGTCTGGCAGAGGGTCACTTCAGGCAACATGCATTTTGGGGGGGGGACTGAAGTCAATTCACATTTTGTAGAGGAGCAGTTGTGCATTTTTGTGATCATTTTTGTATTTATGCATAACTACTATCATACTATGTATATATATATATATGTGTGTTTGTGTGTGTGTGCGTGTGTGTGTGTGTTTGTGTGCGTGTGTGAGTGTAATTAATATGTAATAAAATGAATACATGTGCGTCACACACACACATATATATATACATATGTGTGTGTGTGAATATCGATTTTGTTTGGGACCAGGGAGCTGGCAAATGTTGGACTAGCTAGGGGTTCCGTGGCTATCGACACTTCTCAAGGCTGAAAGTCACAAAGTCCATTATTGGCTTCAAAATGTGTATAATATATGTATGTATATATATATATACATATGTATATATGTTACAGGGACTTTCAGGGGTTTGGGTTTTGCCAGCCTACAATTCCTATCAGCTTCTAGCACGCAATTGTGCAAAATTGTGCATGGTGAAGTGTCTCCAACCAGCTGCAAGGGAGCTCCACGTTTCACGTTTCAGGCGAACCATGTGCATCCCTTTGAAAGGGATCACCGCGAGAGGAAAAATGCCACGCGAAATGTTTCATCGTTTCCGACTCCGTGTTAATACTTCGGGAAGATTTTTTCCGATGGCTGATGATGGCTGATGGATCCGACGAAATCGGCAACCAGACCTGCCAGACCTGCCAGGTCGTCCGGATTGGAGTGAACGCACCTGCATTGCGATCGGAGCCTTGGGTTTGGTCGTCGTCGTCGTCTAACGGCGTTTCGGGCCTTGGGATCTCGGAGAAAATTTGGGGTCAAACACGGTGGAGCATAGAACCAGATAGCCTTCTGTAAGCCAACCAGATGTGGAAAAATCACCAGTTTCCTCTATGTAAATCATCTATAAATAGACAATGTTCATCCATTCTCCACCTATCATATAGAGGTTTCCCAAATCATGGGGGTTACCCGCCAAATCATCCTTAAATTAGACAATGTCAGTATTGAAACTCATTTTACTAAACCCAGCCAAAAAAAATTGAAGTATTGAAGGGACATTCGATTTCTTGATGTTGGGCAGCCATAGTCTGAAAAAATCCATGGAGGAATATGTTTCCCCGCATCCCGGCCAGGAAAGCTCTTTGCACTGGCGCTTCGCAACATCCCAGATCCTCCTCCATTAGGCTGGCAGAAGACGATGATTCACAGCGTTTTTTTTTCGACAGGATGACGGTGAGCAAACTGATCAAACTGATCAAACTGGTGGTGTTACCATGTAACTATACCCAAAGAATGATTTCAGGATGACTTTCGTGGTTCTGCTGATTGTTGCCGCCAGATCAGCCAGCTCTTGTGATGGGAGGGGCACTGCCCAAGCCAACTTTTGGCCAAGTGTCACCAACCATGCCACCCACGTTGGGGCACCTGGAGGATGTTTGTTTTCAAAGGCAACTCTACAGAATACTGCAGATGCCAGATGCCTATATAAATCAATATATTTATATATAATTATACAGTATATATATAATATGTTCAACTCACAAGATTCACATGAATAAATCAACTTTGTGATTGTGGGGGCCAAGTTGCAATCTCCAACAATCGCACTTGGTGTTTGACTTTGGGACCGACCGGTGTTGCTGGGTTCCAGCCCAGGTATACCATGATGCCCACCATTCCCGACCCACCAAAGTGGGGCGAACCACCTGTCTCTGGCCCTGCCCCTGTGAAGATGTCACAAGAGCAGATGAAGAGGACAGCGGCCGGATTTTTGGCCACACAGTTGAGCCACTATACCAAGGGTACGCTACCTGATTTATTGATGTTTATTGGGGTAACGGGAGGCATCGGGAGGCCCATGAACCAACCGCTACGAAGCTTGAGTGTGGCTGGGGCTACTTTGGATCACTTTGGTATGTCCAACATTATCCAAATTTATCCAACCATGCTTACCCATGCTTACCCTCCGGCAATCAGCTCCAGCGCTAGGTTTGCTGGCAAAATCAACTGATCAGACCGGTAGATTTTCCACCGTCCAGATCTCCAGGATGCTGGACCCAGTCTTGCGCTTTCTGATGCGACCCGACCAGGCCGGGATGTTCGAGTTCGACATCTCGCTCCAGGGATTTCCAGGGTAAAGAAACAATTTCCACCACGCAGTGTGTATCATTTTGTGACCGAAATCTGTTGGACAGTGCAGAAAACACAGATGTTGTTCTCACATGGCAATATCAGATGTTATTTGTGGCCTATCCGTCACACGCATTGTTTAAATTGGTTAGCAACTGGGCTGCCCACTCGGGCCCTGGGCTATCATGCGATTTTCAAACATTGCTATGAAAAACCTTCATTCTTGGCTGGAAACTATTTTTTAACAAATGCAACAGGTGTGTTTTTCCGTTGCCAGTTTTTCGATTTCCAGAAGCCAAATGCATGCATGCATGTTTTTTTACATGAATAATTTCCCGTTATGCATTGTACTGGTTGGTTAACTCTCCAGTTTAGATGGTCATTCTCCCATTCAACTATTTGTTGCATGCCCACCCTAACACACTGCTGATTGACCCTGGGGAAATTCGAACCCGAGTTACCTGCCCTGCCCAAGTTTTAGGTGTGCCAACAACTCTTTGTGGCCATCGGCGCCACCACTCGGGTGGAAGGTGGGTTACTGCTTGGCTGGCAAATCCTGACTTTTCAAGGGGATATCATCTACTATATATATATATATTATATATATAATATAAATATATACTGCTGGTTGGTGGTTTGGAACATTTTTTATTTTCCCCAATACTCGGGATGATGATCCAATCTGACTAACTATTTTTCAGAGGGGTTGAAACCACCAACCAGTATATCTATATATATGGTTATATAAATGTAACATTATAATATGTCCAAAAAATGTATTATGTACTGTAAGAATGTCAGTAACATATGTAACATATATATTAGAATTAATATTATATATACGGTAACGACATTAAATATGTGGAGGGCGGGCCAGACCGCGAGGCCCCGGAGGTAGTATGAAATACCAGTTCGTATATTTAAATGTACTTACCGTATATATATATATATATATGTGTGTGTATGTGTATGTGTGTGTGTACCATTGTACCATTGTGTACCCATATATACCATTAATTATATACCCTAGTCTCAAGATTCGGTTGTCAAAGTGTTGGATCATTCGGATGCCTGGCCATGGCCATGGCTCGCAGGTCTGCTACGGAACTCCTTCAAGACGTCCTTTCGCATTCCAAGTCCTGGGATGAAGCTGCCGGGAAAGGAGCGGGAGCTGCTGGATGTCATTTCGGGATGGTGAGGGTCTACTTGGTGGCTCATCCCACGGCTCGTAAGTGGGTTATAACCCCAGTTATAAATGGGATAAGTAGGGTTAATCCACTTATAACTGGAGTTATATCCCACTTACTAAGTGGGATGAGCCACCAAGTAGGATCAGAGCTGCATGCCACCCACCTTCCTCCGCCTCATCCTCCACCTGCCTCGGACTCCGCCCTCAACCGCGAGCGCCCTCTCAGTGGGCACTGCCGGACCTCAACTGCGAGCACCACCGCATTGGAAACCCAATGTCAGATAGAATGCCAGAAAGAATGTCAGATAGACTATGATAGACTGTCAAAGAGAATGTCAAGAATGTCAGAATATATGTCAGATAGAATGTCAGTTGGTGGGGGTCGCTCGAAGAAAGTATTAATTTAATTCAAATAGCTAGAGAGAGACCTATGATTTGCAACTGGCCATATTCCGAGGGATCAGGGACAATTCTATACCTAGTATCCTATCGATCTCATTCTATCTATCTATCTATCCATCCATCTACCTCATCTAATTTAATTGAATCCAATCCAATCCAACCTAATATATATATATATATAATGTTATATATTTTTCCATAAAGTTCCACATATATGGCCACATTTTTTTGGGATGACTTTCATGGCTTTTCACCTGCCCACTTCGGTAGCTGGCCGCAGGAGGATGCCATGCTTCAAGCCATGCAAGAGGCGCCTCCATATGCTCCATGTAGAGATTTATATATACCTACATGATTCGGCATAGCTATTGTTTGGTGCCAAACATGTTGGCACAACACACCTATACACGCACACACACAGGTATATATATATATATAAGTGTATATATATATAAGTGTATATATATAAGTATATATATGTATAAGTGTATAAAATATAAATAGCACTTATATCAATAGAAATGTTGTTATGCATACTTTACACAGCATTGCTGGGTACCTCGATCAGCGGATTCCGAAGACTTCGGCAGGCGGCCAACTTCCGAAAAGCCGCCACGAAGGCCCCCTTTGGGGCTCCACAGCGAAGTTTGGAGGGGTCTGACCAGCGGCAGGCTTGTTGAACCCCGGAACCCCCAAGTTATGGCCATTTTAGCCATGTTAAATCTTTAAAAACCGGGGAAATTGATGATAAACCATTGGATTCAGAGGGGTTTTGAGGACTTTGCTCAAGTTTTAGACAAACTGGAAGGTCTTGAACCGCAAAACTCACTGAAAGGGAGCCAGTTGAAGCTACGAGTCATCTTCCCATCCATTCCCCACAACATCAAAAGATAATCCGATTGGTGATCGGACAAAATAGGGATATGTTTAACATTGTGCAGTTCAATTTGATCATACTTGACAATAGAATACCCCCCGGAAAAATTAACATAGCGAACATGACCATAGAAACAGTTGATGTAGCCAGAAAAAATGGTGATGTTCCATAGTTATGTCAACGTTTACCGTGGAATATCATAGAAAAACATGACCCATCATGATTGGGTGGCCATCCCAGGGGCCATAAAGTTGGTTGACCGGTGGCCCCCCAGGGCCCCTGGGTATTTACTAGGGATATGCTTTGGAAAAGCCAATGAACACGGACTCCGGAGCCTGCAAATAAGATTTGTTGAGTGGAAACATGTGGCAACTCATCTTCCAACTTCCCCAAAATGGCAGGAACTATGTGACTTTACAGGTCAGGTACCCTCTGGTAAATTAACATAGCTATGGAAAATCACCATTGTTTATGGGAAAAACCACTATTAATGGTCATTTTCAATAGCTATGGATTCCCTGGATCAGAAAAACTCCGTGCAGATCCCTCGTCATAGGCACATGCCGGAGATAAGTTGGGCCCTTGGGAGCTGGCTGGATCTGGGAGATACCCTCTGGTTATTTAAGAGAGAACTCGTTGGAAAAGGCCAACTTTGAACGGGAAAATATGGGATAATCAGGAATATAATATGATAAAACACACAAACATCATCATATGTATATATATATAAATATAATTATATATATATATATAAAATCATCTATACGGCTAATTGTTCATTCTATACCAGGTTCAATTGCTGGAGGATACACAGCACGGGGGGCACACAATTTGGCACTGAACATGTCCATCGTTGGTTGCGGATCAGGTGATTGCCATAGCTCGGGACCAGACTCAGACCTGGATGCCAAAAATTGAGCCGCTGTCGAGGGGGAAACTCACCGGGGAAACCGACTGCGACATTGCCTGCTGAGAATCAAAAACGAGTTTGGAACTGGGAAAATCACCATGCTTTCCGTGAAATCAGTTGTAGTCATAGTATCTCACAGTTTCATAGTTACAATTCATTTTTTAGCGACGAGAGATGTTCATGATATTACTCATCCATGTACGTCAGAGCGGCATGCTGTGTAGTGGCCCCGTTTTGGCTCAGATCAGTAAGCCGATGTCGCACCACTAAGTCCTTCGGTGTGCGATGTCGCACCTCATTCGACTGAAATCTGCACTGCTGGCCCTACAGATTTTGGTCGCACCGACACCTTGCTGATCTGCGATTTCAGAAAGGTGATACAAAGCTGTGGGTGAATCAAAACCAATGAATTATAATTACTACATAATTATGCCAGATTTACAGCAGGCTACCAGGCTTTTGATTCATAACCATTTGAGTGTATATGACAATGGGGATGCCGGTTATGGCAGTTTTAATTGGGAAAATGATGATTGACCAGTGGGGTTTGGGATAATTATATGCCTCTTTTTCAGACAAACCTATTTGGTTTGGAAAACAGTGGCCTTGGGGGCAGCATCACGACCCCACGCAGCCAGCTTCTAGTTGATATACCAGTGGTGAAGTTTGTTTTGCATGACTCTAGTGTATCTCGACATGAAATGAAACATAATAAAACGATAAGCCATGTACACTCTTCTCTAGAAATTATATATATATACATACATATTATGTTGTCAGCAGATTCGCTAAAGATTCTTTTGTGTCTTCCCGGCTGGAAGAATCATGACCAAGGAGATGCTCATTGGGGCAGATGGCCGTTGTCCACGACCTAAAAGCGGTCGGGGATTACTATGTCCCTCGGCTTGGCTTTGCGTGGTGCATTTGGGCCATTGAAGTGATAGAAGCCATAGAAGCCATAGCAGCCATAGCAGGGTATTTGATTGTATTTGTCAGATTTTGCATGTTTGATAAAGTTTGATGTTTTTAATCTTTGTGTTTTCAAATGGTTCAAGCACGACATTTCCAGTGGGAATGGTCGATTTTATGACACTGGGTGCCGACACAGGATGCCCCAGGACTTGCCTATCATTACCCTCTGGTAAACTAACAGTTTGCTATTGAACATGGCCCACTAAAATAGTTGATTTACCCATCAAAAATGGTGGTTTTCCATAGTTTTTTGTATGTTTACACAGTTATGTAAACGTTGACCAGAGGGTATGCATGCATTGCTCTCCTAAAAGTGGCACATGTTCCATTAATCAAAGGAATAGACAAGTTAATCATCACGTTCACTCTAGCGATCGATCACTAGAAATCCATATGAGTACCACCTGATTACAGTATATTACAGTAAGTGTCTAATACAACTAATCGATTCAGATATCGCTTTCCTACATGATTTCATGTGATTTCCCTATCATAGCTGATCTGTGGCCCGTGGCCAAAAAGCCAGCCACGAAAGAAACTGTGATCTTGGCAGGTGCCTCTAGAGCACGTCTGCGATGGATACCAGGAGCAATGGGACAACTGCCCAGGTGGGCTGCCAGTTAACATGCCAGCCCAGTCCCCGGAAAAATCAACCCTGGTTGATCAATGGTAATGGGATGTAATGGGTAATTCATAGCCCATTGCTACTATCAATTTGCCCATAAATTATGGAAAAAAATCCGTTGCTACTCAAATTGCACCAGTTTCACAGCAGCCGTTTCGCGGTTTCTTTTTTCCCTGGATGTCGCAGATTTGGAGAAGTGCGGACCCTGCGAGCCCGAAACTGAGTGACAGACCGCACCAAGCACCAACCAATGATTTTTGCGATCCCCCGAAAAGACCATGGGTCCAATTTGTGGTTCATTCAAGGGTTATTTTTGGTGTGTGCCTCAAATTGTCCGACTGTGATTTCTCATGGATTTCTCATCATTTTTTTCCCGGGGATTTTTCCCCGAAAAGGTGACCGCCAAGGCCTAAGGATTGCATCTTAGGGTCCTGGAGCCAATGGCAGCTGCAGGGCGGCTGCACTGGGCTGAAATTGCGGCACCGAGAAGTTGAGGCGACGCTGGGCGACGCTGGTTGCGCAACGGATCTCGTGGCGGTGGGTGGTGAACGGGTACTGGGGAAAGGTGGGTTTTTCTTGTCACCACAAAAATCCAATATGATGACAGTCATTTTTTGCAGCATCCCCAATAGGATGGAAACAAATTGACAAAATGATCTTAAGTTATTATGGAGATAATTATATAGAGATACCTACACTAGCGTAGTTATAATAAACCATCAATGTCAACTCCGGATCAAGAACCGCGCGTTGATCAACTGGATAGATTAGAATGCAATAGATAATAGAACGCTATAGAACTCCATTCGCTTCGATTTTTGATGTTCTCGGAGTTAGATGGATTTAACCAACTAAAAATCAAACTTTTGGCACGGGATCAGCAACTCACCAAGTTGACTATATATATATATACAGTTGACAGTAGTCCTAAAAATTGAGAATCTGCCATTAAACTGATGCCTGGTGCCCGCCCAATTAAGCAGCATGTTTCTTTACACGACTTTATGTGGGGTTGACTCATTGTCACCAATTTTTTTCAACCGATGCTAATAGCAGCTAGTCACTTTCCCTGGCAACATCTCTGCCATGTCTTCATGGAGTACAGTCCAAGGCTCATGACTGATTTCATACCCTCTGGTAAACATACAAAAAGCTATTGAAAATGGTCATAGAAATAGTGAGTTTTCCCATTAAAAATTGTGATTTTCCATAGTTATGTTAGTTTACCAGAGGGTAAGATTTCCATTCACCAAGACTCAAGTGACACTTCGATGTCGGTGAACTTCCCAGCCAGGTTCAGCACAATCATTGCGGTCAGCCCTGCAAGGGCTATCTGACCGAGACGGATAAGTACGAACAGGATGAGCATTGTAAGCCCAAGGGAAAAGATGCTTGGTTCATTTAAAAGTGCTTGTCCTTCAACAGCTTGACATGTGTAGCCTTGGTGTCCATAGATGTCCATAGCCATCGGATGCATCAAATGGAATCATCGAGGGCCCATTGCAGAACAAGTTGCCTCCTGCTAGTAACGTGAGGAAGTCTCCAAGTATCTCCAAATCAGTCCTTGACCAATATGGGTCACATTTTTAAGGTTTCTTCAGCCACTTTTGATACTTTTGTTGCATACTTTTGCTATGCTTTGGTCACTTTTCAAGAAACACCATGTGCCACCACCTAGACGGTGCCGTAATTCGGTATTTGCCGCAAGCTGGTGCCTTCCAAGGATTGCAAATTTGGTGCCTGGGGCCAGTGGACCGTTTGTCAGCACAAAAAGGTGGGTCGGCGCAGCTACACCGAAAGGGATGTATAACGGGGGTTATCTACGAAAGTCAGTGGGTTGTGTGCCATAGACCATAGTTGATTAGCCACTGGGCTGCACAAGGCATGTCTCGGCCCCAAAAATGTTGTGGTGTTGAAAGCCAAGGTGGCCTTTGCATCCAAGCGTGTTCTTGCAAAGCGTTTTGTTTTTTTTTGGGTATCTGGGTCCAATAGGGTGAAGCCACGTTCAAGGGTTGGCAGGACCAGCTGTCCTGCCTTGCCGCAGGATCAATCCATGAGAAAACGAGGCATCGCCCAGCAGCCGGAGGAGGGTGGAGCAGACTGCAAGGGAGCATTGGAGGAGCCATGCGCCACCATGTGCCACGCGCCACAACGGGCTGGACTGGGTCACGATTGCAAGCTGGCAGCTTGATTTCCACCATCCTCAACTTGTTTTTCCAATCCGTGAAGTTAGGGATTCCTGACCACAAGTTCAGGGTCGACCAAGATCTAATTGGTGGCTTACTGTCCGCCAACAGCCACCAATTATGGCTTAACTATGCTCAGCTATTGACCATCTATTGGGAGGTTCACCTTGTGGCTCTGCTGTGCCAGGAGACGAGACCCTGCGGTGGCCCTGCGGATACCGACTGCCACGTAGGGGACTGGCACGAATGGACCAGCTGCAGTGCTGTCTGTGGCAAGGGCAGGCACACGCGCATGCGTCGCTTGCTGCAAGATGGGAGGGGTGGGTGGTTCATCGCACAGTAATTCTTTTTTTTGGGGGAGAAAGCGGTTGTTGGATCCAATTCCAGATATTTTTATCAGCTATGATACTTGTATCAGCTATCATTGTAGATTATGATATCATGTTCCGATGTTCCATCTATTATAATTAGTTTATTATCAGTATAGATTAAGAAAGATCATAGTTCAATCTTCTCAAATGTGCCCATTATCTCTCCCCTGATTGTTTCTGGGGCGCAGCTCAGGATATGTCAATGCAGAGGCCCATCATGGAGGCAAGACATGCAACCTCGATCTCTTAGACTCATGGCTGCATCGTATTCCACGCCATATATACAGACTTCGTTAGTTGGAGCATGTTGGAACCACTATTTAACCACCGAGAGGTTTTGTTTTTCCGGTGTAACTTTGCTGTGTTGGATCAATTTTCAGTAGGCATCGGCATCGAAAATCAGCAATTGTCCTTTGAAACACGGCAGCTGTACCAGTCGGGGAGCTATTGAAAAAACCATCCCCAAGGTGCATAGAAATTCCACTTAAGACATTGCTTCATATTGGTTGCATACATTGACCTTTGAATCATGTATTTAGTTTGCATCACACACACACATCATATATTATCATACATTTATATAATTTAACTCTATATATATATTTATAAGTATATATATATATATACATATTTATATAAATATATGATTATATGATTATATATATATATAACTATATTTTGGTGTGTGTGTGTGATAAGTATCTTCAAGGCGCCCTATTTTAGCGCTGGTTTAGCTATGCTCCATTTCACTCAGGAAACGGCTGAGTGCGAGATCACCAACTGCGAAGCCAGTTCCTTGGAAGCCTATAACGACCTCACTGGTCCCCCTCACTGGAAATCATGGTTTTTATATGGGAAATCATCCCCAAATGGCTGCAAGATTCAGGTTAGTGAAATATTATAATTTACCTAGATACATGTCTTAGCGGCTTAGCCATGCAATTTTAGCAGAATTGGTTGGTCACTGTTGATGGGAAACCTCAAATAATTTGATGATAAAACGGTGATAAAACGGCATTGCCTTCCTGCATTTTTTTCTCTTCAACCAATCCACTACAACCTTGCGACTGGGGAATGGCTTGGAACATATACTTTGAGCTCATCCCCTGCGGGTTCACGCTGGCTGTTTGCGAGTTTTTTGGCACCCCAAAAGCAAACTGTGAGAACCCCAAAACATCCAAAAACATAGATACAGATATTCGTACTGGACATGACCAGTTTATGCCGGTTTGGGGTTCCATTATCCCCGTTATGGTTGGTTTACCTTGGTACAAGTTTTCCACTCAGCCGTCATCGGGCCAAAAAAAATTGACCAGCAAAAGTGGCAGAAAGACTTGGCTCCAAGCATGGAGCGCCAACAGGTCTAAACGTTACGCAAAACCGCCAAAGGCGTAGAAAACAAGTTTGGGCGTGCTTTTGTGGTTGGGCAAGACTGAATGCTTCAGATCCAGCGTTCCATGCTGTTCTGTCATAGAGTTAGAAAGCAAAACCATCATTCAGAAACCAGCTTCTTCATCACTAGCGTTCCATTGGTTCTTAGGAGTGACTTTCTCGTTTACCTCTATTTTGCATTATTTTGCAACATCAGACAACATCCAACTTGCATCATCTTGGTTGCAAAACCTCTTCATCTATTTAAACTATATCAAGTGGCTTGGCTGCATCTTTTCGCCTGAAGACGGGTGTAAAATCACAGCCACTAAGACATGGCGTCATGGCGTCCTTTTCGCCGTGTCCAGGTTCCGATTGTGAGCTGACCCAGTGGAGCGAATGGACGCAGTGCCCTGGCAAAAAAAATCTCCATGACTCATATGACTCTATTGCTGGATCGTGGTCAGCTAGTTCTTCAATCAGGAAAAAATATCATTGAAGTTCCTGGTCCAGGTGGGTATGGATCAATACCTATTAATACCATTTTTAGGGGGATGAACATCCATTTACCAGCTATTTTGATGTGAACTACAGGGGTACTATTGGTTTTGACACACTGCCTGGTGAAGAAATGTCTCGGATGCTGCAGCGTCTTTTACAAAACTGTGGCTTCTTCTCGAAGGAGACAGCTGGGGTCCCTTGAGAAGATGATCATGTCGCCACATGCTTCAGATGTTGCTTCTGTATGTGATCACAGTATATTATTACAAATAAATAAATATTCTATATGCACTTGTTTATTCCCCTTATTTCATCTTATTTCCAGATACCACCGGGATTTATTGCCATTTAAGATTCCCAGACCAGCTCTTCCAACGGACCAGGAAGGAAGGGCTGTATCAACATGTTTCAGCAGAAATCTTGATTGAATTTGTGGAGGAAGAAACTAGGGAATGGTTAAAACATGTTAAAACCCCATTTTCTCCATGGACATTGTGCTATTTTGATCATTTCGGGTGTAACAGTGAACACCTTAAAAAAATGCTATTTCACATGGTTCTTATATAACCCCTATCATTTTTGTTGGTCGCTCCATTTTTTCACCCACCCCAAAGGCCCCAAACGAATGCCGCGGTGCCAGGTGTGATGAGATGTATGTCCAGACCTATCGGCGTCGCGAGGTGGGAGGAAGGGGTTGGAGTTCCATGGGGGTTCCCCAAAAGATCCATGGAAGATTCATAGGAAATCCATAGGAAAACATCTAGGAAAACCATAGGTCAATGATGGTTAAGAATGGTTAATAATGGTTATCAATGGCTGGTTGGTGGTTTGGAACATGGCTTTTATGACTTTCTCTCTCTCTATATATATAATTGGGAATGTCATAATCCCAACTGACTTAGATATTTTTCAGAGGGGTAGGCTCAACCACCAACCAGTTATCCTTAAGCGAAATTGATGATCCAATCTTTCGGGTTTGGGAAAATCCATAGTTCCAGCCACAATTTCTGGATCATCAAGTGGGAAGAACCTATTTGGAACTGGGATAAAATTGTGTTTCGGCATAAATTGGCATAAATCATGCTTCATCATGCTTCAATCGCACAAAAATCTATACAACACATATTCAAACAATGGGGATGGGGGTGTGGAAACTTGCCACAAAAATTAGATCCCGGGCCCTTAAAGGCCTTAAATACTTCCCAAATAGGCCGCCAAACTGATTAGATCCAATGCTAAAAGTATTTAAAATGAATAGAAGCATATAGAAGCCAAATTCAGCAGATTGAAATCCCAGGTCTAATAGTTATATGATATGACAGGTTTATGATAGTCACATATTTAGTTTATATGATAGTTATATGGTACCCCGCAAGGTCGCAACCGCTTTTCTTTGCGAGCAGCAGTCTTTCGCTGCAAGTATTTTCTGTTTGGGCTCCAGATTTAGCTGCAAAACAATTGGGGCCGCCTGAAAAAAGAGGAAGCTCCAAATTGTCCTAGAAAATTGATCAAACCAGGTGCTGCCTTGGAAACAGGGACACCTCTTCGCAGCAACGACAAATTCGCTCATCTCACCATGATGGCGTAAGATTATGTTTACTCCCCATATGAAGCAAATGGGATTTTGTCTGAAAATATCGTACTGTACCCCCCAAATGTCATGATCAATCAGGGTCAATCGGCATTTTAGGAACACATATCATCACATATACATACAAACAGGGCCTTACAATGTGGTGCCCCCCAGTTATAAGTTGGTTTATAAACCCCATTAACTATAGTTATATCTACCATAAACCATAGTGAAATTGGACTTACTAACCAACTTAGCTAACTATGGGGCACCACTTTGTAGGGGTTTATTTCCATGTAAATCCACCATTTTCACCCAAAGATCCCATATTTGACGTTCACCGTGTCCACGTCGTGCGACCAGGTCATCAAAGAGCCAGAAGGCAAAGGCAAACTTTGCAACGCCAGTGCTTTGGCGTTGCAAAGTTTGATTTTAATTAGGGATGTAATGATGATTGACCATAGGTTTTTTTGGGCAAAAAAAACTGTTTCAGACATACCCAGATGTTCTTTTCTGTGGCTGTACCTCAGTCAGACAATGCTGAGGTACATATGGGGCACATCTTGGCTTGGTAGGAAATGTTTTAAACATCATAAATACGACCCAAGGAGTGGCTACCAAAGTATGTGATTTTTCCTTCCATGGGGTAAATCCACGGCAAATCTGGATTTGCCAAGACTTAGCTTCCTTGCAGGGTATCCAAAGACTAGCCTCACTTCCCATAGCACTGGGGTCACGGAATCAGGGGATCAGGGAAGCCGGCAGTGGGATCCACTGGGCGTGTTTGCTACATCCAGTCCAGCAACCTTAGTCCAACTTGAAAACACCATCATCGAAATCCCAAGAAAAACACATGCTGAAAAAAACTGGAGCAAACTTTGAACCATTTCATATTTCATCCCATCCCCCTTTTTTTGGCCCTAATTTTTCATATTGAACACCCCCATTATCTCTCATTCTATGGTCCCGAAGTCCCCACTAAACCACCGATATTGTGCCTGGTGTTTCCTGGGAAGCGATGAAAAAAATGAACCCCAAAGTGCTTCCCCTTACAAGGTGAGTCACTGTTATATCCACCATAAACCATAAGTTGACCATAGTGAACCGTTAGCTGCGTCTAAGCTATGCAGCTATACGTCAACTTAGCTATCATAAATCAGCTAGAAATCCCATGAAATCACCATATTTTGGTTGGTTCAACCCACATTTTCCTATACTTTCGTATGGTTTCCCATGGTTTCCCTATGGTTTCGTTTGGGGGCCGGCCTCACCTGATCAACGAGGCCTTAAAGAGACGCTGGGCTGCACTCCGCTGGAAGCCAGCGACTGCGAGCTCTCAGACTGGCGCTCCTGGAGTGCCTGCCGCTTGGCGAATGAAAAAATTGCCGGGATCTACCACTTTTGGAGACATCAGGTGCAAAAGACTCGCATCAGGTTGAATATTTATATTATTATACAATTATATATATATATTATACAATTATCAATATATATATATATACGCGTGAGAACTTATATATGTCATAAATGGATTAATGAAAGATTCCTTGGCAAAATAGATGATAATTCATCATTATTTATCATGATTATCATGTTTCAACAGCGTATTTCCTGCGGCAAATCGAAGGCACAGCCAGCTGCAATGGCGGGCAGCGCTTTCGGGACCGCAACGTGCTGAAACCACCGAGGACACCCAGTGGTTGGCCTGTTTGGGGCAACGGGTCATGATGCGATTCTTGGGGATGCAGGCAACATGCCATAATTCATGGTACTTGGACGATCTATGACAGATATCCCGTGGCTGCAGTGTTATTGTTATTGTTATTGTTATTCTCGTTCTCGTTCTTGTTCTGTGTTGTTGTTGTTGTTGTTGTTGTTGTTGTTGTTGTGGTCGTCGTCGTCGTTTGTCGTTGTCGTTGTCGTTTCCCACTGGATTGCTTGCTATAAGAGGCATTGACCGGCCTCATCTTCAAACTGATATCTGGTAGTATATACAGTAAGCTGCTGTAGTTGATTGGTATGCCAAACTGGCTCCAACATGTTTCCACATCTTAGGATTTTTGGATCATTTCCAATAAAGGGCCTCAGCTCTACTCACTCTTGAAACAACAATATCCGGAAACGAGATGGCTGCTCAATGGCACTGGCGTGTATTTACATGGCTGGGTCATAACTATGTGCTAAATGTTGAGAAGTATTAAGATGCATCGAGTATACAGAATATGTATATCTATAGGTACATAGATAGATGGATAGATTGATAGATACTGAAGACAGACTCTGCAGATAGATAGATGAATCTATAGATAATTAGCTAGATAGTTAGCTAGATAGATAGATACTGTAGATATATAGATAAATAGATACATCGATAGATACAGTAGATAGATAGCTAGATAGATAGTATGATTAGTATATAGTATATAGATGTATATAGTACATAGTATATAGTATCTATAGCATATATAGTATAGTGTATAGTATATAGATGTATATTATAGTATATATGTATATAGTATGTAGATGTATATAGTATATAGTATATAGTATATAGTATATAGTATAAAGTATATAGTATATAGTATATAGTATATAGTATATTAGTATATAGTATATTAGTATAAAGTGTAATATATAGTATAGTGCAGTAAAGTATTGTATAGCATAGCATAGTTATTAGTTCTGTGCGGCTCGCAGGAGAGGTGGAACCTGCCCCAAGGTGCAGCTCAGGGAGACCAATGGCTGCGGCGCGACACTCAGGGAGACTCTTGGGTGGATGGAGCAGGGGAATTCAAAACCCATGTTACCCTCTGGTAAACTAACATAACTATGGAAAATCACCATTTTTAATGGGAAAACTCACTATAAATGGCCATTTTCAATAGCTATGTTAAATTACCAGAGGGTAAGTTAATCATCATTTATTATCCCTAGTTAAACAGCTATTTGGGGATTTAATAGCTGTTTCACCATGAAAAAAATGGGGTATAACTATGATATAACCATAGAAAATATAGATAATAACTATGGATGTCATAGCTGTTTCACCCTCGAAATAATAATATATGGGACATAACTGATAAATGATGGTTGCTTGATGACTATCGAGGATTATACTACCCAATCCATGAGCGAAATCCGATCAACCAACCAGTGTAAAAGGACGACCTATGTGGGAGCCAACTGGCTAAAGATATATGTAGATTATCCTATTTCATGTTTTTCTTGTAGCATAAATAGTATACATCTACTATTTGATAAGTACATAAATCAATCAATGAATCAATATATTATATATTATATATACGTATATTATATATATATTATATATACATTATATATATATATTATATATTATATATATATATCATATATATATATATAGTAGGCCATGTTTGTTTGCGTTTGAGGATTCCAAAAAATTCTCCAAGTTTCTCGAGGCACTGCAAGCTGTAGCTCCACTGGGCCACAGGATTGTGAGCTCGGAGAGTGGGTGGCTTGGCGGTTTTTTGGACGCTGGCTGGGTGAAGGATGGTTAAGTCAGACATCTAGAAACACGCCAGCGTGCTATGTGTCACATTTACCCTCTGGTAAACTAACATAGCTATTGAAAATGACCATTTATAGTGGATTTTCCCATTAAAAATGGTGATGTTCCATAGCTATGTTAAATTACCAGAGGGTATTCACATTTTATATAGATACAACGTTGATTCTTGTGATTTTCATATCGCCAGTGTGTGATGGTTTTTCACAACATCCAAAATCTCGTCATTTTGGCATCCAGGCTACGGCGAGACGGTACGGGCATGCCTTGGTAAATACCCCCGACTGCGGAAAATGGCAATGGCCAACCAAATCCACGGATGCTGAAAAATTTCGTTTCCCCTTGGCACCCTTCTGGTCATGATTGTCATGTGTGATTACCAGAGGGTATAACCCATTTCCATCCATTTCCATCTTTCAAGTTGAGAGAACAGGCTGCTTGGTCAGATTGCTCCTCTTCCTGCGGTGCGGAACCCAGAGACTAGATCAGGGTCCTGGGACGAATACAACACCGACTTTTCCCGTTTTGGTGGATTTTTTCCCGGCTTACCCATGGTCCCCACAACCAAAAGGTAAATGTGGTAGATGATAATGAATAATAAACGATATACCAGTGGGCCCTCTAACTTTCCATATGCTTCGTACAAGGGCAAGATTGCTTGGGGATGGGTCAACCCGACAGTTGCTAAAGATGACCATCATTGTGGGCCCATTGGTGCGCCATTCTTGACCTTTAACCAGTTACATTGACGGGGACTCACATGCCCTGCCCACTTCTATTATATGCAAAAATCAATAAAAAAAACGTATATAGAGACGCCTGTATATGATTGAGTCATTTACCTGATGATGACATTCATGTGATGAGCACGAATTGCGAGGTGACTAGTATGTGCCACACGCATATATATATAATTATAATATATATATAATATAATATGTATATAATATAATATAATATATATATAATATAATATGTATATATAATATATATATAAAGAATATGATATATATATAATATAATATATAATATATTTATATAATATATATAATATATATGGTATATTTCCCATATAGCTCAATACTTATATAATTTTGTATAAACAACTTATGATCACCAGGGGCTAGATCCCAACAATTATAGCAGCCCAACTTATGCGGGCTACTACCATGGTTAAACTGCCCTTCATGAATCTGCCTCTCCATCAAGATGCATGAGACCCCTCGGCATCATATGGAAACAATGATGTGAATCAATGGTGTCTATTGGGACTTATACAACGGGAATATATCATAATTGAACAGACAACATATGATATGGCAATCAAACTTGGCTGGAAAATCGATTTTTCATCCCTTTAGTTAGATCATTTTCCATGGGACCCATTTGCCTATGGGTCAATACCTATAGATACATTTTTAGTGGGATGAACATCCATTTACCAGCTATTTTGATGTTCACCAGGGGTACAAGGTTTTGACACACTGCCATTTCAAGCCTCCAGTTCGGAGATTGCCCAGCCACGTTTCCAGTTGCGGCTGAGGTGAAGGCTCCCGGGTGCGCAGCCGCAAAGTGGCGCAGCTGGCGATCGATGGCGGTCAGCCCTGTGACTGGGCACCACCTGGCAATGATGATGATATGGGTATGGATCAATACCTATTAATACCATTTTTAGGGGGATGAACATCCATAAATCCCAGCTATTTTGATGTGAACAAAAAAGGGGTACTATTGGTTTTGACACACTGCCATATATAGATTATCATCCATGATTGTCGCCATGCCGCCATGATATATAACTAGCCAGTAGATATGATGATTATCATCCTGATTAAATATGATTATCATAGATGACCATCATGATGAACATCCCTCCATTGATAGCACTACAATGGCATTACTAATAGCAATCACTGATGATCATTATTTTTTGCTATGATTAGTGGTTATCATCATGGAACCCATACCATGTGGAAAGATATACACTGTAAGGAAAATGATCATGATGATGACGACGATGCCGATGACGATGTTTGATGAAGATGATTTTGATTCTTCACTGAAGTACTTATTCTTGATTACCCTCTGGTAATTTAACGTAGCTATTGAAAATGACCATTTATAGTGTATATTCCCATTAAACATCGTGATTTTCCATAGCTATGTTAGTTTACCAGAGGGTACTTATTCTTGATTATCCTGATCTTAACCAAATCCATCTCCTCTGAGGTGAGGGTTCCCTACAAGAGGTGAAAGTGTGCAAGATCCAAGATTGCCAGGCGGGATGGGGCGTAGCCTCCTCAAAAACCCCGTTTTTTTTCGTGCATTTGGAATTCAAACAACTGTAAACAGCATAGCATAGTTTTCCTCTGCACATTCTAGGCAAGTAGCCTCTTCACTTGATATACTAGCATTTTGAAGCCCGATTCGATGAGACTATTGATTCTTGGAATTGGCAATTTCAGGGCCACCCAAAAAGATGGTGGGCAATCAAGCAAATTTGGGACGGTAGAATCCAAGTTTAGACATGTTTAAACCACTGCGGGCTGATGCGGTGACACTATCATTTAGGATCTGGTAAACTAACATAACTATGGAAAATCACAATTTTTAATGGGTAAAACTATTTCTTTGGCCGTTTTCAATACTCGTAGCTATGTTAAATTACCAGAGGGTAGGATCTGAACCAGGGCGGCGCAGGTCATTGACTGCCGCTGGAGTGACTGGGAGCGATGGTCTACCTGCAGTGTGACTTGCGGTGGTGGCACCAAAACTAGGCACTTGGACAGGGACAGCGGCGACGATGCCCCTAGAGATCAAAGAAAGCCAAGTAAAATTGGGGGTATATACATTTGTCGGATTTGGGCATGGAACAGAAAGATGGCCAAGAAAAAAACTAGGAAAATTATCTTCCAGACTTCATCATATTTATATGTATATATATATATATATTTGGATTCTTGTCATGTAGAGTCTCAAAAAACCCATTTGCAACGGAGGAAGTTTCATCACAGTCCGCAATGCATCCAACTTCAAGAATCAGCCAGAAATTTGTTCAACAAATCATGTTGAAATGATATCCCATTGAATATCCCATTTATATTATGATAATATATATATACATATCCCATTATTGATGGTCATAATCACCAAGAATGGGATATAACCATCAGTAATAGGCTGGTTGGTGGTTTGGAACATTTGGATTATTTTCCCATCATATTGGGAATTTCATCATCCCAACTGACGAACTCATATTTTTCAGATGGGTAGGTATACCACCAACCAGTTGTCTTTTGCCTATGGACAACAACCAAATGCATAGTCTCTCACAGTAAGATAGAAGAGTTTTTCGAGGATATTACGAACCCACATATGGGGGAGACTATAAGTATCTATATAAGTCTTTTTAAGGTTCTCCAATATTCTACACGTATATAAACTCGATATTCGTACTGTTTTGAGTGAATTGGGTATATACTTCAAATGGTTTATGATACTTAGCTATAGTGAAAATGGTATGTCTGTCTATCTATCTATCTATCTATCTACCTATCAATCAATCAATCTATCAATCTATCTATCTATCTATCAATCTATCTATCTATCTATCTACCTATCAATCAATCAATCGATCAATCAATCTATCTATCTATCTATCTACCTATCAATCAATCAATCGATCAATCAATCTATCTATCTATCTATCTACCTATCAATCTATCTATCAATCAATCAATCTATCTATCTATCTATCTACCTATCAATCAATCAATCGATCAATCAATCTATCTATCTATCTATCTATCTATCTATCTACGTATCAATCTATCTATCAATCAATCTATCTATCTATCTACCTATCAATCAATCAATCGATCAATCAATCAATCTATCTATCTATCTACCTATCAATCAATCAATCGATCAATCAATCAACTATAAGGCTGCTGGCATGCTGCACCAGGAGCCGCAACATCGCCGTGTCCCCGGTGGGTGGAGCGCCCTGCGTGCCGCATCACAAGGTGGAAGTGGCACCCTGTGGTGCCTTGGCTGCGTTTGAGTCACGCGGAAAATCGTTGGGCCGCCCAGTGATGTTTGTTCAATGGATTGGTTTAAGGGAAAATCTTAACCGGAAACCATCGATTTTCCCATGAAATATGGGGCTTTCCTGTAATTTTTCCCTTAAACCAATCCATTGATTTGTTGGTTTATAAACCCAGGAAGTACAGTTATAAGTAGCATAAACCATAGTGAAATTGGAATTATGTTCACCAACTTAGCTATCGTTTGGGGGCCTCACAATAATAGAAAAGGAACATTTGGATACATTTGGACTGAACTAGTGATGATAAATGAGCCTCATATTGTTTTGAGAAAAACAATTGAGAAGTTGAAGGACATTGAACCTACCAACGAGAAATACAGACCATGTTTAAAGATATGATCAACAATGCCCAAATTAGGTTTGCCCAAACGGTTTGCCAACTGGTTTCTTCCAACGTGGTGGGAGGGGTCCTCCAGTTGACACCCCCATGCGCTTGGAGGATACTGGAAAGTTCTTGCCTCTTAATGCCTCGCCTGCAAGAGTTATCAACAGTCCAAACATCAGAAGTCTCTTATAGCACTAATGTTATCTAATGGTAATATACGTATATATGTATAGCATTATTTTTTTTGTATAACTAATGAGTTAGTCTCACTAATAGTTATCCTGTAATTATATAGCGCTAATGTGGTGAACCATGGTGAAACCATTTCTTATGTGGTAAACCTGAAAATATTGGGGCCGTAAAGATTCCTAAACTGCAAAATATTGGGCTCAGTTTATTGTTGGGTTGGCCATGGCTTACAGTTACCACATTGCTGAAGGGGAAGGGTTCCTTCTTCACTATCCACTCTTTGGTGAAACAATGCGCAGCGCTCCTCTCCTCTCAACGCTTGTCCAAGTTGGGTTCTTGCTGTCCTCAATAGATTGTGTTTCATGGTGTTTCATATGTTTCACAGTGTTTCACGGTGTTTCATGGTGTTTCGTGTTTTGGACATGTTTAAACAATTTCTCATCCTCGCACTTGCAAGAGCATTGCACGGAGAGAATTTCTCATCCGGGTTTCCCGTAGATGTTCTCATCACATTCCCTATGCCCTTCTGACTTTTCAGGAGCAAATCCAGTTTGCTCAACCCCCAGTTGATTCACCCTAAGCCTGGCTCATCGAGGTGAGGAGAATTGTGGTGGTGCCTGTCAGCACGGAGAATGGGGCCAGTGGCGCGAATGGACCGATTGCAGTAGCACCTGCGGCGACGCCTATCGTTTCCGGAGAAGGCGGCGAGAACGGCGACTGGGAGGGGCTGGAACGGCGGTGGGCCCCCGGATTCCTGGTGAAACCAACTGGCTCAGAGGCTCGGAACCCCGAGCAACAAACCAGCAGGGCATCAAGAAAATCTGACTAATGACGAATGGCTGCAAGAGCGTTCCAAACCATGTTTGCAGTGGTTTACTGAACCTGTAGGGGTGATATAAAGGTTGCCGATTGAAACTTTCTTGGCCATCAAGAAGTGCATTTTTGTGCCATAAAAGCAACATGGAGAAAAGAAATATATACTTACTTTTGATTTGATGGTCCAGGCTTCATTGACTGGGCCCTTTCTTGGCCTAAAGGTTGCATGTTTGCATGGTTCTGGATTGGCCTTGCAGCCAGGAACATTGCGGTGCACGCCAACTACTGCGGCAATGCCACCGCCAACAGCTGAGGGGGTGAACAAAACACATATATTACATGTGGCTTCTCATGCTGAAGCTGCTTCTTTTTGAGATTGCCAGGGATAGAGCGGCTACGGGCCTTCTTCAGAGCCTACTGCAGTTGGTGGTTTCAAAACCCTTCGATGATTTAACATAGCAATGATGGACAATTATATAGCAATTGTTGATGGTTTGAGAAAAAACAACTCCAGATACATTTGTAATAGTATTTACTGGTTGGTGGTTTGGAACATTAGGATTATTTTTCCATCAGATTGGGAATTTCATCATCCCAACTGACTTTAACTCCATCATTTTTCAGAGGGGTAGGTCAACCACCAACCAGATGTGGCATGGTGTCAATGGGAATTTCAGGATCCTAAAATGGAGGTACTGTATCATATAAGGCCATATTTTGGGGGGATATTCCCTTACATAGGCCTTACATAGGCCTTACATAGGCCTTTATATATGGTAGGTACCTCCAATTTAGGTTCCTGGAATGGCCATTGATGGTGTGTTCAACTGGCAATTTCTGAGGTGGGCCTCAGGGAGGAGATGGAAAAATGCGAGGACTTGCCCTCCTGCACCCAGGCGGGGCTCTTGTGGTTTTTGGACCAGGAATTTCCTGCCTCACATGGAATGCTATGGAAAATTCCAATGGAACATGGGCTATTTAATCCCTACCCCCTATTAATAAACGGGGCCCCCCCCCCTCCCCCCCCCCCTAATAATAAAATTCGAAATTTTGGGAACGCATTCTTTTTATTAGGGGGGCAGGGTGGCGCTATCTGTTGTAATAAATTATGTTGCCTGATGACTGATTCTCTTTGAATTTGCAGGAGTTCTTATGATGAAGCTACCAAGATACCATATTATGTTTGGCCATGTTTGCCTCGCATTGGCATGATCTACGACTGCTTCGATTACTACCACGCTTGCTTCGACCATCACTACCCTCGCCATAGCAGCACAACGAATTATATATTTTTTCTCTCGTTCGACGACAATGGCTACTACTCTTACAAAATCCTTACATGCCCCCAAACCTTCACATGCAAAGCCTGAAAGACTCTGACGATGATCACAACTGAAACTGTGATTTCACCACTGACACAATGCTGATTACACGACTACTACCTTCGTGACGATGATCACAACTGCCACGACGCCCCTTCGATGCAGCATGCTTCCCCTTCAAACCAATTTTTTCGTTTGGATTCTTTCGGCCAAGGGACAAAGGCTAGTGTGGAAGGGGGGCAAAGAAGCCAGGAGTAAAGGAATGAAAGAAAGCCCAGTAGCAGCACATGGACTTTTTCTTAAGGCATCAAAGCAAACCGGTCGGCCCCCCCCCCGACCTTGTCTCATTCGAATAATTAGTGCATTTTCAGACTTGTTTCAGACTGTTTCAGAGTGTTTTTTTAAAGGACTTCAACCTCAAGAAACTGACTTCTTCTACTACGACCACTACTTCTTCTTCTACTAGTACTACTAGTACTACTAGTACTACTAGTACTACTAGTACTACTAGTACTACTACTATTACTACTACTACTACTACTAGTACTACTACTACTAGTACTACTACTACTACTACTACTACTACTACTACTAGTACTACTACAACCACCACTGCCACTACTAGTACTACTACTCCTAGTACGACAACTAGTACTACTTCTTCTACTACTACTTCTTCTTCCACTCGTACTACTAGTACGGATACTATTACTAGTGATACTTACGATGCTACGACCACGACGTTTACTACTGAGGCATTGGGTGTAAATGACTACCCGCCTTGACGATGATCAGAACTGAATCTGATTCCACCACTGACGCAAGGCTGATTACACCACTACTACCTTCGTGACGATGATCACAACTGCCACGACGCCCCTTCGATGCAGCATGCTTCCCCTTCAAACCAATTTTTTCGTTTGGATTCTTTCGGCCAAGGGACAAAGGAACATGTGGAAGGGGGGCAAAGAAGCCAGGAGTAAAGGAATGAAAGAAAGCCCAGTAGCAGCACATGGACTTTTTCTTAAGGCATCAAAGCAAACCGGTCGGCCCCCCCCCCCCGACCTTGTCTGATTCGAATAATTAGTGCATTTTCAGACTTGTTTCAGACTGTTTCAGACTGTTTATTTAAGGGACTTCAACCTCAAGAAACTAACTTCTTCTACTACGACCACTACTTCTTCTTCTACTAGTACTACTAGTACTACTAGTACTACTAATTACTACTACTACTACTACTATTACTACTACGATTACTACTACTACTACTACTACTACTACTACTACATCTACTACTACATCTACTACTACATCTACTACTACATCTACTACTACTACTACTACTACTACTACTACGACTACCACTACTAGTACTAGTACTAGCGTTATTTGCATGTGAAAGACAGTTGCACCGACAGTCACAAGCACGATTTCATTGACACACACTGTGAGGAAAATCGAAAATCCAACCTGTCGGAATATACCTCAACAACCTGAGAAGAAAAGCTTATTCAACAGTTCAAGCAGGTACCAGTGGTTGATCAGACCACTCATCCACCGAAATGCCATAGCTTCGTAGTAACAATTCTACCAGTAGTAGTCGTAGTAGTAGTAGTAGTAGTAGTAGTAGTAGTAGAAGTAGTAGTAGTAGTAGTAGTAGTAGTAGTGGTTGTAGTAGTAGTAGTAGTAGTCGTTGCAGTAGTGGTAGCAGTCGAAGTAGTGTATTCATTCGGACCCCTTCACGGCATTGAGGGCCCCCTTGAACATACGAGTGCGCTGTCATTTGCGACCAAGGGGCAAAAGGTCGCATGGAAGGGGAAAAAGCAACAAGTCAGAAAGGCATCTACAAGAGGCAAGAGGTCAAACAGACAGACATGGAAATTTGAAGACTGAAACTGGGACAATATTGGTAAAAGCTAGACCCGGGCTGAGATCCTGGAGATGTGGATGTTTCAGACCTGTTTCAGACCCTTTTCTGGCCTTGCACAACACTTGACACAATTGGCAGTAAAGAACCAAACAATTCTAAGAGTAGTAGTCGTAGTCGTAGTCGTAGTAGTAGTCGTAGTAGTAGTAGTAGTAGTAGTACTAGTAGTACTAGTAGTAGTAGTAGTAGTAGTAGTAGTGGTAGTAGTAGTAGTAGTGGTAGTAGTGGTAGTAGTAGTGGTATTTGCAGTAGCTGTAATGTTTTCTGACCCCTTGAAGGCACTGCGGGCCCCCTGGAACATACTAGTACGCTATCACTTGCGGCCAAGGGGCAAAAGGTAGCATGGAAGGGGAAAAAGCAACAAGTCAGAAAAGGCATCTACAAGAGGCAAGAGGTCAAACAGACACTCATGGAAATTTGAAGACTGAAACTAAGACAATATTGGTCAAAGCTATTGCCAGCAAAGAACCAAACAATTCTACCAGCAGTAGTAGTAGTACTACTAGTAGTAGTAGTAGTAGTAGTAGTAGTAGTAGTAGTAGTAATAACAGTAGTAGTAGTAGTAGTAGTAATAACAGTACAAGTAGCATTCGCAGTAATGTTTTCTGACCCCTGGACGGCATTGCGGGCCCCCTGGAGCATACGACTACGCTGTCATTTGCGGCCAAGGGGCAAAAGGTAGCATGGAAGGGGAAAAAGCAACAAGTCAGAAAGGCATCTACAAGAGGCAAGAGGCCAAACAGACAGACATGGAAATTTGAAGACTGAAACTAAGACAATATTGGTCAAAGCTATTGCCAGCAAAGAACCAAACAATTCTACCAGCAGTAGTAGTAGTAGTAGTAGTAGTAGTAGTAGTAGTAGTGGTGGTCGTAGTGGTAGTAGTGGTAGTAGTAGTAGTAGTAGTAGTCGTTGCAGTAGTGGTAGCAGTCAAAGTAATGTATTCGGACCCCTTCACGGCATTGAGGGCCCCCTTGAACATACGAGTGCGCTGTCATTTGCGACCAAGGGGCAAAAGGTCGCGTGGAAGGGGAAAAAGCAACAAGTCAGAAAGGCATCTACAAGAGACGAGAGGTGAAACAGACAGACATGGAAATTTGAAGACTGAAACTAGGACAATATTGGTAAAAGCTAGACCCGGGCTGAGATCCTGGAGATGTGGATGTTTCAGACCTGTTTCAGACTGTTTCAGACCCTTTTCTGGCCATGCATAACACTTGACACAATTGGCAGTAAAGAACCAAACAATTCTAAGAGTAGTAGTCGTAGTCGTAGTCGTAGTCGTAGTCGTAGTCGTAGTCGTAGTCGTAGTAGTAGTAGTAGTAGTCGTAGTAGTAGTAGTAGTAGTAGTAGTAGTAGTAGTATCAGTAGTAGTAGTAGTAGTACTAGTAGTACTAGTAGTACTAGTAGTACTAGTAGTAGTAGTAGTAGTAGTAGTAGTAAGAAGTAGTAGTAGTAGTAGTAGTAGCAGTAG